TTATACGGTTTCTCTCGGTGATCCGATTTCTCAGTGCCATCTTCACATGACTCGTCGTTAAGGTTAGCATCACCAACATGATCGCACCACTTATTTCACGGTTTCTCTCTTTTATGCGTCTCATGTGTGTCTTTACGCCTCTTGCCTTTCGAGGACGCAAGCATCAACAGGTCACAACGTATACGATATTTTCTCCCGTGTGGCAGCTTCTCATGTGTATCTTCACATCACCTGAATGCCAGAGAGCAGGGCTAGCATCACACAATTTTCGCACTTATCCGGGCTTCTCTCTCTTAGTATGAGTCTCCAGCCGGTGCTTAATCTTCACATGACTCGCTCCTTGAGATGCAGCGACTCACACAGATCGCACTTTATACGGTTTCTCTTTGTACTGAGTTTCATTGTGTTCTTCACAGCACTCGATTGCTGAGAGGGCAGCATCACACAGATCACACTTATCCAGCGGTTTCTCCTCCCGATGTGAGTTTCCATGTGTATCTTCCACTACCCATGATTTCTGACGAAGCAGCATCAACCACAAGATCGCGACTTATACGGTTAGTCTCGTCCCGTGCGTGCCGATCTCTCATGTGTTTCTTCCATTATTACCCAGAATGGAGGAAATCGCGGCCTTCACACAGCTCGCACTCCTAATTACCCGCGTTTCTCTCAGTGTGTGTTCTCATGTGTGTACTTCAGCAACTACTTCAGATTGAGAAGCACGGATTCACACAGATCGAAACTCTATACACGGTATCTCTCCAGTGTGCGTTCGTCTGTGTTTCTTATAATTACCAGAATGTGAGAATGCAGCGCTTCACCAGCTTGCACTTATACGGTTTTTCTCCAGTGTGTGTTACACTTACTCATGTGTTGTCTTCACACTACTCAGATTGGAGAGACAAGTATCAACAGTTCGCACTTCATATGCTTTTCCCCCGGAATTAAATTCTCACGTATTCATGCGTGTTTCAGGGAAAGCTGCACGTTCTGTCACTGACGTCAAGTATCTACCTGCTAGCCGGCGCTCAGTTAACGTCCTCGTATTTATGCTTCGAGACGGCCTCGTCACGTAAACTCGTACGAATTAACCGTTGGAGGTCGGAACCTATCAAGCGTTTCCTCAAAATTGCTAATGAAAAATACAAATAACTCTCGTATTTGAAACGCCATTCACAGGGGTAGAAATTAACTCGCTTGAACGCGGGGAGTCCACTACCCGGAGGGGGGGGAATTCCTCCCCTCCAAAAAGGGAAAACCAGAATCTCATGTCCTCGCCAGTCTGCGAGCGTTTAAATTAAAGTATTACCAATAACGCATGTGCTTTATCTTAAGATGTGATTGCAGTTTGCCAACTTTGACTTGCTGGAAAAAATACACGGTATACGCGAGACCGGGCTCTGGAAACGAACTACGGTTGTATGGCAGAATGCGGACTCTGCATATGTCAAATCAGGAGAGTCTGACAGTAGAATGCGACAAGTATTCGACTCCGCGAACTTCCGTTAAATTTCGCACCCTAAGTTAACATATGTTAATGTAACGGTTATGGTATTATATGGTTCAGATGTTAGCATATAAGTAAACGATATAAGACAGTAACCAACGAAATTCGCTGTTCAACCAACAGAGCATATATTCGCCAGATATAAGTCTATAGACCAACACCACACGAGCACGTAACGTACACACGTAAATAATTTCACCCTTTTTAATAATTGTATTGTATCTTGTAATTAAAATTATCCAGTCGCAACACTATGCCACAGCGACATGCCCTCTTTTATGGAATTGTATGATAGTTTAGATATACCAGTAGTTCGACATTATAACGCTTCTCAGTCGTAGTCATGAGACTGAGTAAACAAATAAGAAGCGATAGTAATGCCATAGCCGTTAGTGCTGCGGATCTAGTTAATTTCCCCGTCACTTCACCGATCCTTAATTTACCATCCTCATCGGATCTTTACTAGTGATAGTTTCTGTGTGGCAGCTTTCGATCCTGCAACCAAGAGACCAAAGAGCATACTATAGACTCTTTGCCATCAACATGTTTCAGCCTGTTAGAGCGCTAGACGCGCTTAGACGCTACTTAGCGGCTAGTAGACGCTAGGACGCTCTGCACGTAGACCCTATGCCAGACAAACATTGTTAACAATGAGGCTACGAAAGCTGTCTACCTGTCTACCTGCTGCTTGAATAGAACACACCGTCGTGTCATTGTATAATCGCCAATTAACTAATCAAGTTATACGCTCTCCTAGCAAAGTATTTAGCATCGCACGATGTTTTACTTGAAGCAGTCGAATACAAATATCTATAGTAGTGAAGCTGTAGTAGGTATATCTTCGGATCCCAAGATACTAACATCAGCGTTGTTATGTGGAAGTATTATTGACCCGCGAGCTCGATGCCTCTTCCAACATCCCAACTTAAGTTGACAGACCGGAGGAATACCTTGGCAGGCCAGCGCCGTGCTCTGATAGATAAGACCAAAACAGCACTGGTACGTTCAGCCAGGTGGCCATAATGATGATTATGATATAAATATTGCTTTAATTCAAGCATCACTTTATTTGTTTTCTTATGATCCATGCAGATTTATAGTAATTGGTCTACTTAATACAAACTTGAAATGTTCTTCTTAACAGAACCTTTCTGGGCGCAGAACGACAACCTTGTACGCCAATTTTCATGACTAAGCGTTAATTTCCGGGAAGGAAATCAATATGCGGATTTTTCACGTCGGTTCCCCTAGAGTCCTATCCCCCTCCGCTAAACCCATGCTAGACCAATAACATTGTGCCCTTAAATATTTTTTCTATTCTGTTGTGTATGGTTCCCTTTAAAACTACACATCAGAAATTATAACAATTTTTGTTAGGGCACAATTGATTGATTCTTCAATCCATGCACTGTCCGTAAAGACGGTCAATTAATCTCCATGGGGTTTAGCTCTAGTAACTATATGGCCCGCGTACAATTGCTCAGCGGCAACTGTACGCGGGCTATAGTTACTAGAGCTAAACCCCATGGAGATTAATTGACCGTCTTTACGGACAGTATATTCGAGTATCTGAGTCACTATATAGGGACGGCTTTTAGAAGCTATAAGATCAATAATCAAGGAGCTAGACTACAAACTATTTTACTTAGAACAATAAATTATTCCTAGCATAGCGTCATATTGTACTCAACTTGGGCACAACTATGGTCTATAGTATAACCAGGTTTACTAGTATATAGCCACAATTGTTATGTCACACATGTTGTTATTGTCATTTCACACTACGTGAAACAGTTGATCGCAGAACCTGCTTAATTGGGCTATATATGATTAATTAAAGCTGGTAATTTCGACCCATTTTAATTTGGTAATTTCGACCCAATTTTTATCTGATATATATAACAGTATAATAAATACATATTTACATACTTCTGTATATATAGCAACGTTTGTTAGAGGCGTGCCTATAGTAAACACTTATCGCTATATAGCGGGCAATTTTTTTACAAGCGCTATTTTTGATGTAAGGTTTATTGAGTTGCACGTAATAAATCATATAGCTTGTTTTCGCTTAATTACTAGCTTGATTTACCCGTGTAGCCATAATTAGGGGCCTAATTGTGTGCTCCGCCACAGGGTCTCCTAATTATGGCAGCGAATTAGGGCTACACGGGTATAGAACAAACCCGTACGTGATAAAGCGATATCTCTATAGCTGTCATGTACGCCGGCTAGCTCCAAGAAATCATAATACAATGAAGAATAAAGACTTGCGAATAAACAATGCATGCAATCGACGTTAGTCTGGTAGCTTAGCCAGGCTTAACTCTACCGGGGCATACGAGCGTATACGCTCGGACATAGCCATAAACCTGTGCTAGCTAGCTAGCGGAGCGAAGATCTACAATGGTAGAGCTAAGTCTGACTAGTCTAAGCTAGAGCCTATAGTAACGATAACGGCACTGTACACATGAAATGAAACGTATATATAATAGGCCGCGGCTACTCGTACGGAATTTCCACACTAAGAGAAAAACGGAAACGTCGTACGTGATACCTATATAACCCTTAGTAAAAAAGCGTCTTCCGTAAGATACTTTGCGTAAGAGTAGTAGCGGCGTATAATAATATATAACCACATAGGCCTACCTTAGTTCAACTATTAATAGTTGTCCTGTCTACGCTGAAGACGCTTCACTCTAAAAATACTTAGAGAAAACGGTCTCCGAATGCGGTCTTGCCGAATGGAATCAAGAGAACGTATGCAGTCGCTTGGTCTAGTCGCTAGTTGAACAGGTATCGAAACGATTGTGACGCTCCGCTCGTCGCGCTTGCTTATAAATAGTACAATGCGCCGCCCTGATGGTAAACACCTTCCATTCGCTAGACTGATACCCGATCACACCTTGCCAGTGTAGCATACATAGATATCTATGGTAGCGTAGGCTTGAAGGTGTCGACCAGGTATACCCGTCTATCGATTCGCTTGAGGGCATATTTTTGCACGCTTGATTAGACCGCCTCGGTATGGTTCATCAATGGTCCTTTAAATTGTCGCAAAGTTATCTACCAATCTTTTATCTCATCAAATTTTAACTTCTGCCCAGTAATCTGGCACTTCTGCAGTGAAAAAAACAACAAAAAACTCGAGAAGTTAAACTATAGGGCACTCAAGTATGTCCATCAGGATTATAATAGCAGCTATATAGATCTACTCAAAACTGATAAGTCAGTCTCCTTACAACTCGGAAGGCAGAGGCTGGTAGCCCAAGAGGTATTCAAAATTATAACAAAACAATGCCCATCATATCTGTTAGACCTAATTTCACCCATAAAAGAAACCGGTCACAATCTCCGTAAGAGAAATGTAACAATACCTGATTATAATGGCATCACTTATGGAAAAAAGAGTTTCAGCTATTATGGATCTCATCTATGGAATGACTTACCACAATGTATTCAAACCAGTGTAAATTTTAATTATTTTAAGAAAATGATAAACAACTGGGATGGCAAAGTATGCAAATGTGCAATGTGTAATTTAAACTAGTCCAAAGCGCCATTTTTGGGGGGACAACTTGGGCGTGAGGGACGGTTGGTGCATCCTGGTTGGGGGGGGGTGGTGGTTCCCATTGGAGGGTGTGGGAGTCACCACTGTCGCACCATGCATACGTTGCTGGTATTACATCGGGCAGTAAATGGCCTGAATGTATAGACGGTGGAAA